GCTGAGGCGGTGTATGTCTCGACCTTCTCCTTCTTGGGTTCTTCAATCTGCTGCATAAACCACTCTCTGGATGCGTCACTCCATCCAGTCATCGCTTCTTGCAGAAGCTCACGTCGTGCCTGCTGACATGTCGAGCGGATGGCTTCTGCGATAGCGTCGGGGGTGCATCCCTCCACAGCCTTGCAAGCCTGGGCTGTCCTGCTGTTCGGATAACGCTTCGCGAAGCTCTTCACCCTCTCGACGAGATCAGCTTCGAGGACAGAGGCATCCACAAGTCCGCTCTGCGTGTATTGGCATGATCTCCGATACAGCAGGTTGCGAACATTTTCATCATACTGAAGAACCATACTTAGAAAGCTATTTGAAGTATACAAACCTCTCGCTTGCAGCTTCCTTGGCGCCCTGGCAGCTTCCCCTACACCACGCGTGCAGCCATGGTGCCTGAAATAACCGGCCCTAAAGCCTAAAGCCTAATGCTGCCGAAAATAACGGCGGCCTAAACCCTAAACCCTAAACCCTGGGACTCACGTTCCAGCCGAAGTTCCCCCCGGGCCTCGGTCCGGACCGGGCCCTAGGCCCCGGCCGGCCGCCGCCCGGCCTCCTCCACCCGCCCCCCCTCCCCCCTCCCCCACCGGCTTACCTGCTCTTACCTTCGTTGCTTGCCCCATGACCACCTGCTTTATTTCTTCCTCCTTCCCCCCTTGGGGCCCACAGCTCCGCTCCGCCTCTTGTCCACCTCTAAGACTTGACTCGAGCCTCAAGCGCGCGAGAGGCCTGCACCGGCCTCCTCCTCCACGCCCTCGCCCTCCTCAGCCTCCATGTCGACTTCCTCCCTCATCATCAGCCGCAGTCGGTCTTGCTTGTCGACCTTGCCCGTGCAGCTCAACCCATGGTGCTCAGCAAATTTACTGATCGCAAGAAACAAGAGGCTTACAGATCGACTCTCGATGTCATCGCTCTCAGCCTCCTGCTCGAGCGCATCAGTCGCCGCTGCCCTTGGAGAGAAGGCGCTGCCCCTCCTCGCTGCCTTGTTCCCTTGCACCCGTGTCCAGCGCTGCTCGCCGAGGTACGCTCTGAGCTTTTCCTTCAACATGTTTCGCTTCGTTCCCAGCGTCGGCGTGGCCGCCCAAGCTCCGAGCGTCATGAACTCCACGTTGCCCGGCGAGCAGAAGGTGTCATGCAGCTTCCCAACACTCTTGTCTAGCTCCAGAGAGATCGGCTTGCCAGCTAGCAGCTCCTCCTCTGATGTCTCCAAGAGCATCGTCGAGAGGTCGAGCAAGACCTGTTGATCGACTGGCCCTGACGGCGACGCTGCTTCCATGGTGATCCTGTCGATGTCGCTGAGCTCCAGCCATCCAGCGCCTTGCTGCTGCCCTTGGGACTCTTGGGCTTGCTCCTCGCTGCTCGGGCTCCTCTCCTCCTCATGCTGAGGGTTGAGCTTAAAACCCACCGCTTCCAGCTTGACTTCCAGGATCCCTTCCAAGTAGAAGGGCATGTCGTCCATCAAGCGTCGAGCCTCTGCCTTGGTCGCCAGGGAGAGAGCTATCAGGCTCCCATCCCAGCTGAGCGTGTCACGATCCTCCTCGACCTCGACGCTGACCGGCGTCACGCCTATCCTTCTTGCTAATTCCAACATGGCTCGCTTGACTCTCGTGATCGATGTGTTACCTCCTCCGCACAGCGCTTCCATCTCCTTCCTCGAGAAGCGGCCTGTGCTCATGCTTGACCTCGACTTGATCTGCACTCTGAAGCTGCTGCTCCCCGCATGATCTCTCTCGCGAAGTGCCCTCCTTTGCTTAGCGATCTTTCCCCTAGGAACGAAGGTGTCGGCTGTGAGCTCGACTGCAAACGTCTCTCTGAGCTTGGCGTCGTCGCTGATGAGAGTCAGGTGCACCCCCTCCATCGCCTCGCTCTCTCTGAACGAGGCCAAGGTCTGCTCGCAACTTGCCGTCGAAGGCGAGCTCAGCACCCACTCCAGCTCTTTTTGCTGGAGAGTTCCGGTACTTGCCCCAACAGCGACATACGTCTTCGGGCTCGGCCCCTTGCGACCTCTCTGCCCAGGACCCTGCACGAGCATGCCAGCAAGCGGTTGTACCTCTGCGGCTGCAAGAGATTGCGAGACCAGCTGAAATCGATAAATCTGAGCGATCTCAGCCGTCGACATTCCTCCGAGAGCTAAGAGCTGCGATAGCTCGGCAAGGCTCCCTCCCTTGCCCCAAGGTCCTCGCTTGGCTCGAAGCTTGAACGACCGGTCGTGTGCAATGCTGACTTCCGTTGCTTTAAACGCTCTGCCGTCTATGGTGTATTCTTTCCTGCCTTCCCATAGCTCCATGGCTGCTTCATTCCGAAGGAAGGAGACGGTGACTGAGATGTCGTCTGCTCGTGCTATCTCAGGTCTGTAAGGTGCTTTCCACATGATGGCCTTGTCGCCTCCATCGACTGAGTCTACCATGAGCCCCAGCTCCATAAGCTTCGTTTTCAACTTTTCTTCTTGTCGAACAAACATCGAGGAAATCCCTAGGAGAGTCATGGAGATGAAGGAGGTCCCCTCGGTGCCTTCGGTGCCGATGTATGTCTCGACATTCTGCTTCTTGGCCTCCTCCATCTGTTGAATAAACCATGCTCTCGACTCTGAGCTCCATTCACTCAGAGAGTCTTCAAACAGGTCGCGTCTCGCCTGCCGACATGTCGAGCGGATGGCTTCAGCGATAGCGTCGGGAGTGCATCCCCCCTCAGCTCTGCAAGCATAAGCTGTCCGACTATTCGGATAACGCTTGGTGAAGCTCTTCACTCTCTCGACGAGGTCGGCCTCTTCGACGTGGCCTCCAGAGCGCTCACCGTCCTGCGTGTATTGGCATGATCTCCGATACAGCAGGTTGCGAACGCTCTCATCATACTGTAGTACCATGCTTAGGTAGCTACGGTTTGAACGATACAAACCTCTTGCTCGCAGCTTCCACCGGTCCCCTTGCGCTCTCCCTACGCGCCGCAGGGCAGCATGTACCTCTGACAAGGCCCGGCTGCCTCTGACAAGGCCCGGCTCCTAAACCCTAAACCCTAAACCCTAAACCCTAAACCCTAAACCCTAAACCCTAAACCCTAAACCCTAAACTCAGTCAGGAGTGTTGTCTCTCCCCCCTCTTGGCATCCAGTCGCCACCTACTCCTCCATCCTAAACCCTGAACCCGACGACATCGGGAGTGGATCTCTAAAAACCTATAAAAAAAAACTCAGGCTTCACTAAAAAACCTCATTCAGTACTCACTACCCCTCAGCCCTGATCCTCTTGACACAGATCACCCACCCACCCCTAGCCATTCCAACTACTTTTCAAGTGCCGCAGAATTGAACGGTGAGCCATGCGCGGCTGCTGGCCATGCCGGTGGGGCAGGGAAGAGAGCGGAGAAGGATGGCGATGGCCTTGGGGTATGGGAGGGAGAAATCAAGAAGAAGAACCGATAGGTCTCGGAGCTGGTCGTATGGTCTATGGGAACCACCGGCGCACAGGGAAATTGAGGTCTCCTCCAAAGCTGATCGAAGCAGGAACCGATGGATCAGAGGAGGGAAGGACTCCGAGCTTCTTCGTAGAAGCCTCCGTTGTGACTGTATCGGGACTGCAACCTGTGCAAATATTTGAGGGGACCATGTTTCATCCACACGCCCTGGCCGGGAAATATGCGAACATGAATGGCAGTGAAAACGGAGAAAGTTCCTTCGACAGGCAGAGCAACAGAAAGAACAGCAACTATCCATCAATATGTGAGGAAGATGGTTTCGATGGAGCTCTAGACCCATCGCAATTGGAAGCCATTGCTTCCAACACTGGTCTACAACTTATCCGTGAGTTGCCACTTCAACTCCTGCCTTTACTTTTTTCAACAAACTTGTGTTGAGTTTACCTCGGCAATTATTACATGCTACCTTCTTCTTTTCTTGATCATTTTCCTCTCTCAAATTCTATCTTGATCTGATTGCTTGTACAGGATGTGCACAACTGCTAATTGCCAACGGGAGAGAAGAAGCAGCCCTGAGCACGTACAAGAAAGCAATTCTTGCTGACCCAAGCAACGTGCTCGCCCTCATCCAATGCAGCGATCTCTTATTCGAGCATGAGTACACAGAAGAGAGCGAAATGCTTCGAAATTGCGCCAAGTCAATCATGAACAAGTATTCAGACAGCGAGGGAGAGGAGGAACTTGAAGCAATCATGCAGGAAGCGCTAACAGAACAACAGCGAGAAGTTGAGAGAACGCCGCTGCCCAACGTGGAGGCCGAGGAGGTCGAGGCTCTTGTGGAAACCATATGGAACCGCTTTCAAGAGGTGATTCAAGCTTCGCCACTTATCATGGAAGATGGAGAGGATTCTCCTGCAGAAGAATCGTGGGACGACGAAGTTGATGATGGCGGCGTGCAAAGGAGCATGTCACTTCCTGTGTTGACCCAAGCAGAGTTGGAGTGAAAGATCGAGATTTACTTCACCACAGCTGTCGATGTACGATAAGTTGATGTCGTCCGAGATTCATCTGACTCACATCTCCACATACTTCAAGGTTACGCAAATTGCTTGACTGGTCGCTCCTCATCAGAGTTGCTCAAGTATTTTGATCATGGTTCTTCCTTTCGCTGCCTCACTTAATATCCTTTCCATCTTCCATCCTAATTTCATCAACATTTTTCAAGTCAATCTTATCTCGATGGTATTTTGCGCACATGCATCACACGGTCGAATACTCCTTTATAAATCGATTTTCTGCTTTATTCTTTCAGTCTCGTTACTTGTGCTCTCGAGGACGAGTGGAAGATACAGTCTTGCCAGAGCCATGGGAAACGGAACCCTCAGCTGCGTCTATAGATTCTTCTTCCTCAAGCTTGACAAGACGAGCAAACTCTGTAACTAGCGGCTCCAGCACCTCGAACCTCGCGACGGCAAGCATGAATCCGTCACGTCTCATCTGCTTCCCCGAGCTCTTTCTGCTCTCCCATGCTTGCATCCCCCAGCGGTCCCTCGTTCTGTCGAAAAACTCCTTGAGGCCTTCCCCGACCTTGGGGATCTCTTCCTCCTCAAACTTGCTTAGCTCCGCTCGCAGCTCCATACCTCTCTTTCTTCTTGCCTCACGAGACATAGACGCAATCGCAGCCGCCGCCGCCTCTTCTTCTCTGCGCTTTGACTCTTGAAGAGCAAGCTCCTCCCTCTCCCTTTCCTCGGGCGTCTTGAGCCGTTCTGCCTTGACCTTCATGGTGACCTCAAGATATCTAGATGGGTCAAGGGAGCGGAGAAAAAGGAGTTCTTTCAAGTTCTTGTCCTCGCGTAAAAAGAGATCGACCACTTCCTTGTCCGTCATGGTTTGCACAGCTTCTTGCAAGCTCCTTTCCTTGCCCTTTCCTTCGTCACGTTCTTCCTTCACTTCTCCTCCTGTTTGTTCACGCTCGTCCTTGACTTCGTCTGCTTCATCCTGACCATGGCCTTCCCCCAGCTTCTCATCTGCGTCAGTCTCCATCTCTACCTCTTCGTCGTCTTCGCTCTCCTCTTCAGTCCCATCTTCACTGTCACTCCCCTCCATGTCTTCTGAGTCCCAGGCCCCGTCGTCCTCCTCGTCCTCCTCGTCCTCATCTTCAACCCAAAAGCTTGCAGCGGCAGAAAGTTGTTGTATCATTTTGAACTCCGTCAACTTGCTCATATCAAGCGTCCAGATGTCATCCAGAGTGACCTGCAAGAAAGTTCAGAACCAGCTGAAAAGTGATAGGCAGAAAAGATGAAGATGGCGGAGTTGAATCATAACAAGGCATCTAAGGAGAGATACAACCAAAGAAAGCAAGAGACAGACAGAGATAAATGCTTCACCTCTCTCTTGTCGGCATCGACTTTTCCACCAAAAATGATAAGTTCGTTTCCTCGGACCGAAAGATGCGAGTTGATTCGCTTCATTGGTCTTGAGCTGTTTGTGTCCTCTTCCGTGACTTCCTGTACGACCTCCACCTTCTCATCCTGCACCTGAGTAACACAAGAGCCAATCCACCGTCAGCAAGTCACATCAAGAGAAAAGGAAGTGAAGAGTTCAGAAAGGTAAGGGAGGGAGGGAAGCGGAAGTCAGGCTAGAGGAGGCGAACAAATCATGAGAAAAGGTACAACCTTCTCTTCCTTCTTATGCTTGAAAAGTGACGGCATGAGAGATGCTATGGTTCCTCCTTCAATGCCGTCACGGCTCCCACTATGTTCTTCTTCCGCTTGTTTGTCAGCGATAATTTCCTCATTGCTGTTGCTTGCATGTTGGTTTTTGCTCCCTTGTTTCACCTGAGACTCATGCTCTTGTTGCCCAGATTCCACGGGTAGAAGCAACATGCAATCGGAAGAATGGACTAGCGTTTCTCTCTCGTGTTCATCTCCTTGCTTTTCTCCTTCTCCATTTCCTTTTCCCCATCCTCCTTCTCCTCCTCCTCCTCCACTACCTCCTCCTCCTCCTCCTCCTCCTCATCATCATCATCATCATCATCATCATCATCATCATTCTCCTCTTCCTCTTTGTTCACATCTTGCTCGCGTTTGCGCGACAAAGACTTTTGCATCTTCTTGAATTTCTTCTTTCCAAGGAATTCCACGTCTTCCTCCTCCTCCTCAACATCGTCCTGTCCTTCATCTTCTTTGCCCTCGATATGCTCCGCAGCCTGAGAAGTGTCCTCCTTTGCCTTCTGCCTCCGGCCGCTAGCCTTCTTCTTGCTTCTGAGTGTGACAGGAAACCAACGGCGCTGGTCCATACGGAAGACGAAGATGTCGTTGAAGAAGGTTGAGGTGAGGTCGTGCTTGCTGTACTCGTCGTGCACTCCTCCAAAGACAACCAAGTTTCGTTTCTTATGCACACACGTTGAAAAGCCACAGCGAGGACTGGGAGGAATCCCTCCTCTCCTCACTTTGGTCCAAACGACTGCCCGAGGGTCAAGACTCCACATGTCAGTATGCACTATGCCGTGGGAGTCGTCGGATGAAGAGAAACTTCTACCATGCTTGGTGTATCCACCATACACAAAGATCATGTCCTCAAACTCCCCTATGCCACAGGCTGAGCGAGGAGAAGGCCAGCTTACGTTGTCTCCCTTCTTATCTTCCCCAAGCTTCTTCCACTTCATCTCCCCAAACTCAAACAGGTAAGCATCGTTGAAGTAGCGGACGTCATGCCCTGTGTCATAGAAACCTCCGAATACAAACATGCTATTCTTCCATAGGATCTGTAGTCTTACAAGTAAGCAACTTCGTCTTCTTTGAAATTCCATACCGCACGATGCCCACTCCTCGGTGATGGGCCATTCTTGCTAGTGATCTCTTCCCATTGACAGTTCGCCTGCAATTGTTTTCACTTTCCCACTTTTCACCAGCGACTGCAATGACAAAGGCTAACCGCATCCAGCCGCCACATGTCCTTGTGATGGTAGAACTGCATCTGACTCGGAGACGTGAACTCCCCTCCGAAGATATACAAGTGAGTGCGAGAGGCCACGGCCTGGTGCGATGAGCGCGGCTTTGGAGTGTTGGGACTTGTAACTTGTGACCACGTGAGAACCCCTTTGTTCTCTTTAAGCCGGAAACTGTCGCAAACAATTCAATCACAAAAATGTTGAAAAAATAACTCACAGATGGTTGTATACAAAAACACGTTCTCCGTTGTAATATTCGCCTCCAAACAGAAAGAATTCATTTTCTTTTAGTGGATTGCAGGTAAAGCTTGCATGAACCCGTGGAGTTGGTTGTTCACATATTTCTTCTGTTACAACTTTCCTGTCTCGGTCTTTGGCTGCCAGCTGATTTAGAATCAACTCGATGTCTTCTTCCTCCGGGAGCCCACTTTTTGATCGCTCTTTTGCCTCTCGCTTTGCAGCTTTCTTTGCGGTTTTTAGTGCAGTCTTTTCTGCTCCTTTGCCCTGTTTCTTTTGTCTTTCTTCTTATCTTTGCCCATAGTTGCGGTCAAGTTTCGACGAACAACTTCCAGTCAGATGATCGCTTACTGTTGAGTGGAATTATGTTATCCCTGTCTGCTCCTGCTCCTGCTCCTGCTCCTGCTCCTGCTCCTGCTCCTGCTCCTGCTCCTGCTCCTGCTCCTGCTCCTGCTCCTGCTCCTGCTCCTGCTCCTGCTCCTGCTCCTGCTCCTGCTCCTGCTCCTGCTCCTGCTCCTGCTCCTGCTCCTGCTCCTGCTCCTGCTCCTGCTCCTGCTCCTGCTCCTCTTCCTGCTTCGCGGTCGGCTCCTCCTCGTGTTGGCTCCGTTCAGCTTTGGATTCGCTCCTCCATTTCCTCCATTTCAACCACACGTGCAAATGGTTGCAACCGTTGGCAGCAGTTGCAGAAGTCGGACCACAATGATGGGTGACTTCTGATTTGGGTTCATCCCCGCTCGTGCCCTAGCAATAGTGAGTGGCGAGAGGAGTGGCGATGAGTGGCGATGCGGGTAGGGTAAGGTGATGGGTGTGAGGAGAGGAGCACAAGGTCAGGAGGGATGAAGGAGAAGACAAGAAATGGATCAAGATAATGACAGAAGCGAAATGACGGGATGATTCAGCTGAGGTAGACTGTCAAAGTTACACACCAAGCCAACGTTGTGGATTCAGAAGCAGCAGCAGTCAGTCACATACATCAGCGCACTTGATGTCTTCTTCAGATTTTCTGCTGAAAGAAAGAACGAGGAAGGTTCGATATCGCACAGATGACCCGGTGTCGAAGCTGAAGATCAGAATTATCCTCGAGCAGAAGCAAGGCGACAACGAGGAGGAACCCTGGGTCAGGAAAGAGAGGGTCTTTGAATGGCAAGAAAAGGTTTTCGGAGCTCAAGATTTTGAGATGTATTGCCAGCTTGCCAAGACAAAAGGCGGCGATGAGAAGCAAGGGGTGGAGGAAGAGACAAGCGGCGAGTTGAGCCCCTTGCAACTCAAATATGTCCGCGCAGTCTCTCGTGTTGCAAGAGCAGAGACGATCTACTCGTACGTCGACGCGGACGATTTCAATGACATTGATCAGAGAGCCCCTCTTCTCAACTCGTTGCAAGGAGATACAGAAACGAACCTCGCAAAGATGAAAGATTTCTCCGAGCTATCTCGAGGGCGGCCTTCCCGGCATGGAGCAACGTCAGAAGAAAGTCGTCAATTCACGATGATGTACATTGTAGCGGATCTTACCAGTGATCAATCGCAGTCTGAAAGCGGAGAAAATGTGTTCAGGAAGCAGAAGTTCGTGCTATGCAAGATTAAGGCATACGATGACGGCTCTGTAGACATGACCCCCGGCTTCTCGCCCGAGCCCTCCATCAAGATCGACATCCTTCAGAACTACAAGTATACGCAAGCTGATCTCGGTATCCCCTATCGTATCCGGACAGAAGGAGGATTCAACTATGACTACTGGATCATCAATGACACGGAGATGACAGATGAAGCCGCCAAAAATCGAGCAATAGCCAACCAGAAGAAGTACCAAGATCAACTGCTCAGCAAGGCGCAAGAGCTGCGAAAGAATTACATCGGAACTGAGTTTGACTTATTCAATACAGCCGACAAGGACGACGAGTGCAGGATGTTCATCAATATAGAGATTGTGAGTGCGATTGGTTTTGATCGAGATCATCTGTACGTGCAGTACCTTGTCGACATTCCTGAGGGCTGGCAAGTGGTTGAATCTCAAGATCCGGACGACTCTCATCCGGTGTGGGGCAACACTCTTCTGTCTACAGTCCGGCACAAGAGGAGCGGATACGGCCTCGGATCGCTGCTCGGCCTTGCCGACGGTTTCGAGACTCTCAACCGAGTGGCGCATTTCGCACATCCCATCCACTTGGAGCTGCAGAAAACGAGAAACGCAAACGGGAAGAAGCCAGTGCTGCTCCTACAGGTCAACTCGTACGACCGTTGGGATAGACAGCGCGTGCAGGGCTATGGGCACCTGATCCTTGCAGGCGAGACGAGCTTCTGCGAGCACAAGATCAGCACGTGGACTCCAACTCCCAGCCAGGTGGGGAGAATGCGGTCCTTCTTTATAGGAGGGTCCCCAGAATTGAAAGACTTCCGCTTTGCTGGCCTTGAGGCAAACAAGGCTGGAAATATCCTGAGTCGATATGGATTCTCCACAGAAAGCTCAGGTCTGACGTTCTTCAAGTCAACTACTGGTTTGTTATGGTCTTGACCGCAGGAGACGTCATCGTTCGAGTGAGCACTGTAGTGCAAAGCGCGTTTCTTCAGCGATCGAAAGGCGGTGGATCGTCAAGGACAGATGAACCAGGTACCTCCCTTGTTTCTACCGGCAACCTGCTCAAGACAATTCCTGCAGGAGTTTCCGGAGTAGATATTGTAAGATAACCAAGTCAAAGCCTGTTTGCTAACTCTCCATGTAGGAAGTGAAAAGACGGAACAAGATGAAGTGACAAATCCAGCTTGCGCAATGAACGTATCTGTTACCAAATTGAACAAGAGACGATCATTGGTAGCTGAAAGCATCAGATATAATGTTTATTCAAGATAAAACGTCAATCGACCTAAAAAGCCGGGGGATAGGTATACATTGAAATATTGCCGTTCATGTTCGGAAAGTTGTTCTGTGGGAGGGGAACAGGCTGCGACTGAACTTGAGGTGGGATGGTAGACAGATCACTCTTGCGTTGGCCCTTCTTCTCGGCCTCCTCGTCAAACAAGAAACCAGCTCCATGCTCAGAAGCATCGAGACCGGCATGTTCGATGTCTTCTGACACCCTCATGCCAATGGTCTTATCGATGGCAAGGAATGTCATTCCAGCAGTGCCCATCACCCAGGCCGCCACCACCAAACTTCCAACAATCTGCACTCCAAACTGCTCGCCTCTTGCACAAGCGTTGTTCACATTGGGATATCCTGCGTACTGAATGTTCCCGTCGCTGCAAAAGATTCCGGCAGACCATACTCCCCACATTCCACAGAAGCCGTGTACAATGCAAGCATCACAAGGGTCGTCAATCTTGAGCTTGAGGAGAAGGTAATGTCCCAGGTAAAGGATCAAGGAAGCAACCAAACCGATGATCAAAGCTGCCCAAGGGTTCACGACAGAGCAGTTGGCAGTGACGCCGACGAGGCCAGCGAGCAACCCGTTCAAACCCATGGAGATGTCATAGTGCCCTTCGAAGATGAAGGTGATGAAAGTCGCTCCAATGGCTCCGGCGGCAGCGGCAATGGTAGTGTTAACAGCAACTTTACCAGCGACCTGCCCTAGACCTCCTGAGATCGCCAAAGTTGAACCGCAGTTAAAGCCGTACCAACCAAACCAGAGAATGAAGGCTCCAAGGGACTGCAATGTCTTGTTTCCAGCATAAAGCTCGTTCACTGTTCCATCAGCATTGAATCTCCCGATCCTGGGCCCAACAACAATTGCACCCATCAATCCGGAAAATCCTCCAACCATGTGCACAACTCCAGAGCCAGCGAAATCAATCATGCCATTAGAGTTGGTGTTGCCAGTGAAGAGAGGCCTGGGATTATCACCATAAGCACCCCAGGCAGACAACCATCCTGTGCCCCAGACCCAGTGAACGACGACGGGATAGATGAACGCAGTGATAATGATTGAGTAGACAAAGTAAGCGCCGATCTTTGTTCTCTCACAAACTGAACCAGCAACGATGGTAGCTGCCGCACCAGTGAAGGCCCATTGGAAAAACCAAGACTCCCATCCATCTGGCGAACAGGACCAAGAACCATCAGAAGCCTTGGTGCAGCCTCCGGCTTTGTTGTAAACCTCGTCCAGAGCAAAGTTTGAGCCTCCGATGAATCCTCCTGAGTCCTTTCCATAGGCAAAGCCATAACCGATCAGCCAGAAGCCGATGGCAGCGATGGAAGCGTCGATCATGTTTTTGAACAAGATGTTGATGGTGTTCTTTGGATGAACAATTCCAGCTTCAAGCATGGCAAACCCTGCCTGCATGAAAAACACGAGAGCGCCTGCATAACTCAAGTTCAGATGTTGTCTGTGCGACAAATGCATTTTTACCAGTCAAAACCAACCATGCGCTGTCGGTATCTCTGCTAAGCTCTGCGACTTGCTTCAGAGCCATGTCGTTCATAGTCTGGAGCTCGATGACTGTCTTGTTCATGGCAACCAAATAGTTGTAATTGTCCGTCGAAGTTATCGTCGACATCCTGCCCAAGTGCTGCCCTCAAAAGTCAATACATGAAGACGATTGTAGAGCTTAGAGCAGAAAATGTAAATATTGCGCTATGTGTCACTAGCCAGAAGTGAAAGGGGCGAAGAAGAAAGAAAGGCTTGTGAAACATATGGAAAGGTATCCATCATGCCATGACCAAATACAGCAGGGCGAGGGTTGATGAAGCAATGCACAAAGGTGAGGACGGAAAAGGAACATTCCGAAACATCTGGAAGAATGGGCGAGCATAAGGAAAGGAGCAGCAAGACACAAGAATGACCATAATATTGCGTGGTACGGAAGATAGTGGTGAGAGTGATCAATAGCGTGCGCGGGCGCAGGAAGCGATGGAGGAGGTTTATTTATACACCCTAGGGCCAAAGACGGCGAGAGAGAGGGGTGGGGTGGGGTGGGACTATGTACTGGTCTCCAGCGGAGCCGTTATTTCAGGTAAGAAGGATGGGTCTCCTCTGGTATGTACAGCATGTCAGGGTAGGGTGGGTGCAGACTGGTAGTACCAGCGACTCGTGCAGCGATTTCCAGCACCCCCTGGTCACTCACCTACCCTACTTTGCGACCGTATCCGGACCTACCCCCACATCATTTCCCATTGGGTGACTCTGACTGGACATGAGTTGCACCCCCTGGTAGTAGTACGGAGTAAAACCACATTCTAGTCGGCCGCGACGGCATTCCTTTTAGGGTACCCCTGGTACTCTCATGAGCATATATTGTAACGGATCCGACAAGGTGGGTAGGTGGTAAACGACGCGAGGACGTGGCCTTTTGGTGGGACACGACAATCGCCGCAAACTTGAGGCTCTTCATAGGAAAACAATAGACTATAACCGTCCTCGTAACTGTACGGCTACGTTCCGATCCGCCTGAGAGCTTGGCAAGTTGGCCTGGTCTGTACTAGGGCGTCTGATTACATAGCTTAGTAGACCAGTGCGGTACAAACGTGAAACGATCTTGTTTTGCTGGGCCTAGTCAAACTTTCAAGTACCGTGACAGCCTACTGGCCGATGATCTCAAAGCACCGTCACTACCGATAGGTGGGCGATCAAAAATGCAGATATGTTCTAAAGAACACTGAAACCTGTAAGTTCAAAAATGTACTACCAAGCCCCCCTTTAACTTAAAACGGCGCAGCAGTACCGAGGCAACGAGGACCATCATTGCAGGACTAGCCCGGGCCCGGAGCGGCCTCCCGCGCCGAATCCGGATTCCCCAAATTCACCGTCGGTAGTCGGCGGCGGGAACCGGAGGCTCCGTGGCGTAACGGTTTTGATAACCGGCAATCACCGTTATGAAAACGGTTATCTCATCTTTCGTCACCGTTGGAAAACGTTACAGGGACAGCCACGACAGCAAATGCACGGCGGAAGAAAATCAGAGGCGCGAGGAGATAGGAAAGAGCGTTTCAAGTACAAGGAAAAAGTGCGGGGAGTAGGGAAGAGGAAACAAAAGCGAAGGAGAAAAAGGCTTTGATGATGCAAATAACGGACGAAGAGGCATAGGATGTGAAAAATGTGCGCACTTTCATCGTGAACAAGCAGAGGTATTGATGGACAATTCAGATGTGACAGTTTTGTCTTTCAAAATTGAAAGAGCCAGAATTTTGTATCTTACGATCATTTTCTTCGTCTCTCTGTGCTCTCATGTCATCTGAACAGGAACCGAATTCTTTCAAATCGACGAGATGTCTTCCTTGCTGGGCGAGGTCAAAATCTTCACCCACTAAGAGACTTACCACGTTCTGACCTCCCAATGTTTTCGTTGGCTGGCAGGTCGCGTCTGCCGTAACCAAGTCTGTCATGGGAGACGGGAATAATGAGGCATCAAAAGCGTTTGTAGTTGATGGATGTCGTGACCGTCGACCTGCAGATTGGAAGGACAGAACCTCAGGAGAGTATGCTGAAGCGATCAAACCATCCCACTGCTCTTCTCTTCCATGTTGGATTCAAGGCGGCAGCTCTCTTTGTGTGAGTGCCCTCCTATCAAGGGAAGTTGACTGATTCTGTACGCAAGATACATCTTCGGATCGTTGTTCTCTCGCTCGTTTGTGGTTTCTTTTGTGATAGTAAGAATATTCGCGTCCTTGACTTGCCTGACATGCTTTCAGGTTGTATTATTGTTAGCTTTCGATTTCTGGACTGTCAAGAATGTTTCTGGAAGGTTGCTTGTGGGGCTCCGATGGTGGAATGAAGTGAAGGCACTTTGACTTCGAGGTCCCAGAGCTGATGAATAGGGGCAGGTGAGGGAGGACGGAACCAACGAGTGGAGGTTTGAGAGCCGTGAAGACACGTCGAGGATATCCGATGTTGATTCGAGAGTTTTCTGGGTCAGTCAGGAGGAGAGGAGGATGAGGTGGGGTGGTGGAGGTTGAGGTGGGAGCAAGGTGGAGGAGGTATTGATTGTGGTAGGGGAGGTAGTAGTGGGAGGAGGTCTCTCAGCCTTTTCTCCTCTCATTCCTCTTCAGGTCACCTTATGGTTGATGCCCATTCTCTGGGGATTCTTCACCATCTCCACTTTCTTCTCCTTCAACTATGGCTGGATGCTCTGCTGCATCGTACCGTCTCCTCCTCCCTGGTTCGTCTTGACTGAAGGTTTTTAGGTCGCCGTGTGTTTGTCGGGGGCCAATCTTTACGGATACATCAAATGCAGCAGGTCGGGTTTTCGATTCTCCTCCGTCTCCCCTTATATTTTCTACCTTCTTGCTCTTGCTTTGCTCCTTCATCGCGTCACGAATACACAGAGCTGCAAAGGCGAAAGTTGGAAGTCTCGCCTCTTCCGTGGCTTCAGGAGTTTTGCAGCAGGTCAGAGGAGGCGTGATTGACATGGGAAGGGAGGGGGTGGGGTTGCGAGTTTGACGCGGGCAAAGGCTGACATTGAGGGCAGCAATTTGTCAGCAGATTCACCGGTGGATCAAGTTCGTCAGCAGGAGCCAACAACGTCTAGCGCTATCCCTCGGCTCCTTGTTTCTCATACATTCAAATCATTCAGACCTGATCTCAGCCAAAGTCCATGGCACAAACATTGTAACCACTCATTCGTACATAGTCGGATAGCTTCATCTCATGGCTCCTGCTCCTCCTCCTGCTCCTGCATGCCTCCTCAGCTCACGTCCCACGAGTCTCCTCATCCTGCTCGAGTTCATCTGCTCGTCAATCCACCATTACCTGTGTGAGTTTCCGTAGAGTCTCTTGCGCCACATTCCTGACCTCTTCTTCCTCCCCCTCCGCCCCCCCCAATTCCTTCCAACCTATTGCTGTTCCTGCATTGACCGCCTCCACAGCCTTGATAGTCTCTTCATCGAACTTGCGTGCAACTTTTGCTGCCGTTCTGATAGCCTGCAGCTGAGCTAAGAGCTCGTCAAAGTCCAGCACCCGCTCACCTCCACCTTCACCGCCAGCACCTCGTCCTGCATGGCTGCGATGACGGAGGAAACAATCCTCGTGTTTCCTCGATCAGCTACAAAAGGGAGAAGACAGCAGGCAGCGTAGCGGAGGGTCCATATGTTAGACTGCAGGAGAAGGATGAGCCTATCTGTTCGCTCCCTCCTACTGCCTAACTCGACGCTCTCCTGCACAACCTTGCAGAGTTCAGCAACCTTTTCCTCTTCCAGCACGTCGACCAGCAGACCAGCAAGCAGCTCGTCTGTCTCTCTCAGTTGAAGGGCATGGGCGGTTTCTTCTACTTTCTCAGGAGGTCCCAGGAGGAGAGCAGGGCTGAGGTCAACGTGCTGCATCTGACTGCTTCGATCCTTGAAAAACTGGGAACGAGGAGGAGGCGAGGATGATTCCAGGTGCCTGACTAGCAGCCTGCGAATCAGAAGCAGAGAGAGCTGACGATATTGACAGCAAATGCCCTTGAGCAGCAAGTAGGTCAAAGTCCTGACAACTTCATCCTCGTCCTCCAGCAACGAGCTGATCGAAATGGCCACATGTTGAGGGAGAGGACGGAGTAGAGCGCCGATCAAGGACAGTGCAGACACTCTCAACTTTCTCCTCCTCTCGCTCGCCACCAGAGGGACCAGATGCTCTATCAACTCGCTTGCCTGCACTTTCAGCTCAGCTTCCGAGGCCGCAACACATGCAGCAGGCGAGTCATCAACAGCGACAAGCTTCCTCTGCATCGTCTCGATCAGCCCCTTGAGCCCCTCAACCTGCCACCATCGCACGAACCACAAGGAGGAGCTCAGGGCAGGCAGCGAGAGTGCCACGAAAACTTCACCCAAGAGCTCGAAGCCGCTGCACCTCAGCTGGTGATTCCCCGAGCTGTTCCTCCCTGTCATCTTCACTCGGAAGCGCCGAAAGATCTTCTCCTCCCTCCTTCCCACCCCTTCGCCTTCCCGCACCTTCCCTACCGCCCATACTCTGACCGCAAAGCGCTCGTGCAGAGTCGTGTCCTCCTCGTGCCTTCTCAGCGTCTCCCACTCCTCGCCGTCCGCAGAGGCTTCCAGCACCCAGTTGCTCATCGCGTTGGAGGAGGTGTTGTACCCGTGCCGCAGCATGTAGTGCGTCGGCCGAAGCCAAATTCCAGCTGGGAGTTCAACTGAGAACCAACTGAGAGGAGCATCGTAGCTCGAGCTCAGCACTGCCGAGTCTGCAAGGATGTTGTCCTCCTCCGTCAGCCACCCACTCGTCTGCAGCGTCACCATCCTTGACGCCGACGGATTCTTCCACTCGTGCTCCAATCCTCCCGTCCCGAGAAACTTCAACAGTCCACCAGCCTCTTGCTCCTGCGAGGTGAAGGGGAAACTATACTTGGGGAACAGCAGGAGGGGCAGGACGATAAGGCGCAAGGAGAAGGAAGACGAGCCGGCGGGAGAGCAGAGCTTCACGCACACCTCAAGCTGAACTGCCTCCAACGGTACCCCAGAGATTCTCCCCGTCTCCTGATCGAGCACGACTCCAGCTGGAAGTGGAGGCGAGACTTCCAGGATGAGCGGCTTCGTGCCCAACATAAGCTGAGGGCTGAGAGAGGGAAGTGAAGTCCCTTGCGTGCCCACCAGGCGAGTGCTGGGATACTCCAGCTGGGGGCGGTCTCCAATGATTGCCAACGTCTTGACAACCTGGGATGAAGTCTCAACATGAGAGGCATAAAGCTCGACAGCAGCCTTGACTGATCGAGGAGTTTGAGTGCCCATGATGCGAACAAGCTGCAGGCAATGCTGGAGATGCAGAGAAGTTCCTCGTTGCTCTTGCTCTTGTCCTTGTCCTGCAATACTTGCATCCGATCCGCTTGCTGCTTTCGCTTCTCCCGCTCCTGCTCCTGCTCCTGCTCCTGCTCCTGCTCCTGCTCCTGCTGCATCATCCGGTAGCCGTACATGCTCTTCGGTCGCTTTGAGGATGATGGCTTCGACGACATCCCAGCGCACCACAAGCTTTCCGAACAGTTCGAGCCCCGAGCAGGAGAGCGACCAAGTGCCGCTGCTGTCCGGCCCATCCATCCTGATCTTGAAAAACCTGAAGCCTCCTGACGCTGCAATGGACGCTTCCAGGTCTTCGTTGGCCGCTTGAATGGCTCGCAGCCTCTTCAGCTCATCTGCCGTCACCAGCCCGTCCAGTGGCTTTGGTTTCTCAGTTGTCAGCTTAAAGTTCGAAGTGATGAAGGAGGCTCGAGGCGCTCCAGCCCCTGGCTTGCTCGACTGCGGGAGGCGCTGGAAGCTGCGATCATCATTGTGAGCCTTGAGTAGCAGCCACTCTTGGCCATCGACAGACGCGAGGAAGGACCAGTGAAGGAGCGACTTGCCAGGCCCAGTGAGCCCATGCCGCAAGGAGTAACCTGACGGGAAGAAGCGAAGGCCCCGAGGAAGCTCTAAGCAGAGCCAGCCGTTCCTCTCGCTGCCGGAATAGTTGAACGAGCCCTTGGTCTCCAGCACCTGATCGGGGCTCCCGCGAACCCACTTGCTGCTGGTGTGGAGCTGAAGGAACCTGCTGTGCTCGAGGTTCGAGTGGTGTTCCCTTCCTCCTGACGTGGAAAGAAAATGGAGGAGGCCTGGCTTCAGTTCATCATCTGAGATGCACCTCAGATCTGCTTGCTCGCTGTCAGACATGTCAAAGTGAAACTCTTGAACGTCGTGGGGCTGCTGAGGTTTTCCTGCAATTTCTGCTGCAGCTGCCAAGCGACTTGATAGAAGTACGTCTGTGGAGTCTTGTCGCATCGAGAAGTCAGTGGCGAGAGGCACGAAGTCGCTGGGACGGGAGGGCGGAAGACTGACTTCTTGTAACCGATCGACTTCGTCAAGTTGAGCACGAGAAGCTGGGCGGCGAAGGCTGGGCTGGAACCTGAGCAGGACAGAGGCATTTCGATCTTTCAACATGACATGCCGTCCATCTTTGAAGGCGTTGTACCACCCATACTTGTTCTTTTCCCGCAGCCACTCAAGTTCCTGCCTGATGCCTCCCAGCAGCAGAGGAGGAGTGTTACTCCGAGCCATCTCCTGCTCTAGAGCTGCCCGCACCTCCGCGTCCAGCTGCTTTCCGATCGAGTTGTGCGTCGGGATCCCCCAGCAGTCGAACGAGCTGTACAGGTGAGGCTGAGAAAGAAACAGGGAGGAGGGGAACCAGTGAAACACAAGTACTTCAAGGTCCTGCCCTCCCCAGTTCTTGTCGAAGATGATCTCAAACTCTTGTTGCACCCTGGCGACGTTGATATGCCTCGTCCCGTCCAAACTCTCGTCTTCTAACATGCGATCTTGCAGGCAGCGAGTTCGAAAGACCTGACCGCACGTGCGAACCTCACAGAAGACATTCAGAGTTCTCGATGGGTGCGTGTTCTGGTCCTCCACCAGGATCTTGGAGAAGTTTCGAACTTTCTCTATGTAAATCTTTAAGCTCCAGCTGCCTTGCGGCACAGACATCCTGATTGGCAGCAAGACAGTGACAGTTGTTTTTCCAGCTCAATCGAGCTGTTTCAATCATAACGAGTTGGGCAAGGTCCGCACCATTCTCTCGTCCACCATGACAGCGATTGCATCCTCGGGCCCTGCCGGCCTCATGGGGCAGCGTCGTTTGAGCTTCTTGCGACCAAACACATCAGAACTTCTCCATCTCTTAAGCTCATTGGCACCTTGTCTTGGTGAGGTAGAGATTCTGATACGATCGAGCACTCCTCCTTGGTGTCGTTGGCGACCCAGATAGCTCCGCCAACACCTCAACAAACAAGTGAGTTCACTTGCTGCTGACTTTCACCTCACAAGAAAACTGCTCTCAGTATCTTGCCTCACTCTCGCCATGTCTATCACATTTCTCTGGTCATCGCACTCAGCGCTCATCATCTCTACAACTGCTTACTCGCTTGTTGCCTCCTCCTCTCCTCCTCCTACCGGTAACGAGGATGGCCGTCGCCACAGCGATCTCCATTCCGAAAAGCCCCTTCCTTTACTTTTTTTTAAGGTTGAGTTAAATCAGAATGAGGCATCCGGACCGTACACCGTGAGAGTCCCCGGCCGCCCGGCTGGAGTCGGATCCGCTCCGACGGTCCCGGGCCCCGGGCCCGGCCGGGCCCGGCGGCCGGCGGCGTCGACGGTTCACCGTCACGGCGTGGCAGGCTGAGTCAATCACTGGCTTTTTTTAAAAAAACTTTTACTCAAAGTTAAGTTAAAGATCAGTACGAGGACAATCAGGAGAGTCGAGGAGGCTTGACCCTGACACTGTCGCACAGGCCAAACGGCGAGAAGAGAAAAGACAGCGAGAACCAAACCTAAACCTGCCGACTGCTGTCCCCCAAACTTAACTGATACCTTCACTTAACGGCGCGCAGGACAAGTCCCCGCGCGGCCATGCCAGCGATGTCGCGGTGGCCGCCGCCGAAGGAATGAGACGCATACCGGGATGCACCCGCGATGATGGCAGCGTAGGACAGGGAGGCCTTGAGCTGACGGAAGACCCTGGACCGAATGCGTTTGCAAGTCGGATCACCTGAGACGTCTTGCGAGGCCGAGAGACCATCCAGCGCTGCCGTTTCCTTGTTCGCCGAGCGATCCGCCAGCCACCACAGAAAGCGCAACGCATCGTCCTGCAAGAGGCCATCAGTGCTGGCGATGATGGGAAGAAAGGCCTTTGGCGGGACGTGCTGAGCATATGCATTACGATGCCCTCGGATCTTCCGCTGTGCTGCCGCTTGCAGTTTGCTCCGAGCGAGGTCCGGTATTCCATCATTGTCAAAAACATGTGACATGCTGAAGTCCAGGATTAACCCATGCCATCCGCCGCCAGTAGCCATCAGTTGTGGAAGTTCAAAGTCCCCTACATGATGATCTTCAGGGCCATGTTCAAGAAACGTTCTGCCTGGTGCCGGGTACGCCTTGCACGTGGACGCGGCATCTCACTCCGGAATCTTTGATGAGGGTACTGAGGACGGCATTGCACTTCTCATGCGCATCAGTCCATAACTGGCTGCGGTGCCTGCAGGTTGCCATGTGTGTGGTCCCCCCAGGATGACGAAGAAGATGATGGCATCGATCGCAGTGCGGCGGGAGGTCAACCGGCAATCCATGAAGAAACTTGTCAGCGGCAGCCACCAAGCTGATGGGCTGCTGCTCAAAGATCCCAAGGTTTGTACTTTCCATAGTCGAGTGCCAAATCGTGCGCTGAGGGGTAAACTGAGACAGAAGTTCATCAACCGGGTGGCCTGGTACTCGAAGGGGAGTAGAGAAGCTGGAGTGGTGTGCCAACAAAGATCTCTGGCGCTCTGAAAGGTGAGCCCGAATACTGCGGAACCGGGGAAACTCCGAGAGGAACTGAGCCGTGAGCTCCCGCTGGGCGGGCCGATGAAAAGCGCACTGCCCGACGTCCCAAATAATTCAGGCGAGGGGATCCAGCCATTGTCGCACGCCTGAGGAAGCTCCGCCAAGGAGGTGTACGCCGAGATGCCCTGCTCCATCAAGTGCCTGTGAGTGTCCAAGAAGGCAGCAAGCATGGGGACAACATCCCCAGCGTCCGCTTGCTGCGGTTGGCGGATTCGAAGCTCAGTGTCAGAATTGATCCGGTGGAAGAGTGGCGGTGTAGGGAAAGTCCAATGCTGGAAGATGGCAATTTCACCCGCCCATTTGAGAAACTTGGCAGTCGCCGACCAGAATGCGGTGTAGGCCACGCCCTCCTGCGGGGTGAACCCATCTCCTCCAGCACTATAAGGCAACTGACGTTTGAAGTAGGCGAACTGAAGGTCAGATGGAGGGGTGCCAGGGGCAGGTTGCAGGACAGATGAACCCTCCTGTGCCTGGTTCTGTGGCCACTGAAACACCTTCGCCAGGAGACGGAGATTCGCGACGTCAAAGCACTTGCACTGGGCAGCGGTCAAGGCCGGGGAGATTCCACGCAAGAAATATTGGAGGGTGGGAACGTGGGTCGTTTTCAAGAGCTGCTTGAGACCCAACGCAATGGGAAATTGTTCCAACTGGGTCAATTCAGCATTGAGGGCATTCACCTTGGCAGTGATAAACTCTTGCTGGAAGGACTGAGATCCTATCGGGATACCTCCCAGGATGATCCCCTGGCCGCGGAAGGCAAACTGCTGCAAGCCCGGGTACCTACTGCAAATATGCTCTTGGATGGCTTGTTGCTGACTAGATTGAAGTTCACACCAGGACGAGGAGAATATCTGCGAATCCCTGGGTTGAATCTCCAATCCTAGCTCTTGTTTTAAAGTATCAACCAGCGATGCAGTAGCCTGTGCGGCAACTGAGAGCTTTCCAATAACAGCCATGTTATCCGCATAGGCCGGGAAGACACAGTCGGGAAAGGTCTCTGCGACTTTGACCAGGGAAGGGAAGGTGGTGTGCGCAAAGAGAGCCATCGCCAAGGGGTCCCCCTGAGAAACTCCCGTGGTGGCCGAAAAAGCCCGAGTCTCTCGCTGATGTTTCAGAAATAACTTACCTGCCTGGCCATAATATTGATGAACATACGGAAGGACTCCTTGGGAAAAGTTCTCACAACGATGCTCGGGAGCAAGGAGGATGTCAAATAGCCGTTGGCGAGAGATCTCATTGAAGGCATTTCTTGCGTCGATCATGATGATTACCGTGGGATCAAAATTATCAGACTCACCTTCGCCCTGGTCTGTGAATGGGTTGGCAAAAGAATGGGGTCCTAACAGGCATTCGATGGTCTTGCAGAATTTGAGACAACCTTCCTCCAGACCCACGCAAAATTGCAGGACCCGAGAGTGACTGAGGGTGAAGTGGCTCTCCAAAGATTTTCGGTAGAAACGACAGAAGATGCTAGACACAATCCTTCGCTCCAGGTCCCCTATCACAATAGGTCGGATTCCGCTCTTTTCCACTGACTTGGCAGCAGGAATGAATCGCCCCCCTCTGGTGTATTCCTCGAGGAAAGCGCCCGAAGGGATTCCCAGCGCGATCGGCTTCAATATGAGGTTAATGTATCGCTGTTTGTGATCATCATGCAGTCTGAGAATGTGTCGCAGGTGCTGGAACGGTCGCCAACCAAATTGATCAGGGGCCGAGGAAGCAGTGAATCGCCGCAGGAATTTCCCTACCTCTCGCTGATCTAAAATCTTGTCAAGCAATGAGGCCGGTTCATCGGCGATGGCATCGTCGAGCTGAGCACTTAGCATTTGCCTTGAGGAGCCGACTGCGTCTAGGAGCGTTGGAGGAATGGGTTCCAGTCTCGTCGGAAATTTCTCACGAGTTTGCTGCCATAGCTGCTCAAATGGATCTGGGGAGAGGCCATGGCCCACAAGCGCCTGTCGAGCTTTCTTCATATCCCGATTTTGGTAATGCTCAACAGCCGAGAGGATTTTCTTTTTCTCCAACTGCTCGCTCTCCATCACTGGCTGCTGCACGCCCGCTCTCGCACGGTCAGGTCCTTGTGGGCGACCTGCATTTTGACGGTTAGGTTGTTGGCGCCTACCTTGCGGTGCCCGCGGTCTCGTGCCTCGTCCCGACCCAGTTAGTCCCGCCGTGGGCTGCTGCGTGACATCCTGCGGATCTCCACCGCTGCCAACCGCTGGGCCGTCTTGGTCAAAAGAAACACCCTCTTCTAGTTTCAGCAATGTCTCCCAACGCCCTTGGAGGAAATGGTGGATACGGTAGCTCACATCTCGGTTTTGTCGCGAGATTGCAAGAACTGGATTCACTCTCAGCAGGAGCAGTGGGAGACAATGCCACAAGCTCCGGATAATCTTAGCTTCCTCGCAATGCAAGTCAGGGTAACCTTGTAGCAGGTCTAACGTAAACTGTAGCGCACTCTTCCATTTATCAATCGTCTGGCGATTGGGGTGTTTGATGGTTGTAATGGAAGGATTACGAGCCAGGAGTGCCGGAAGCTTATGTGGTCCCTGTTGAGCAAAGAGAGGGAGGGCTCTGTGCCAATTCGACGTACCACAAGGCATGTCTTGCGGACGCAGATTATGAAAGTAAGCCGCTGCGCTAGATTGCGTGCCAGGGTCTTCTGGGAAAAGATTTGCCGGTTGAGGAGGGGGCGGTGGGGGTGTAGGATTGACCGTAGGCTGATCGGTGGGTGTCCTCTGGGAGATGGATCGGCGAAATCTTGCCTGCTTCCGAGGTCTTTGGTTCCCCGAACCTCCTCCAGATCCGGGCAGCGGCGGAGGAGGCAAAGTCATCCTGCGGACTCTCAGTGAGACGCTGCAGAACGAGATTGCCCTTCCAGCATGTCAGGAGTCCGTAGGGGTTCCTGCTGTGAGCGGGGCTCAGAGTCAGAGGAGCTCTCTTGGGACACAAGGCCTGTATGAGGAAAGTGGGACGACGAGCCCGGCGTGCCAGTCAGTAGAGGATCAACAACAGAACTGTGATGACGGAGGATGGCAGGCCGCTTGTGCCGCGCCATGATGTCTCACAGTGATGATGGAAGTGAGAGCGGATCTTCACGCTTCCCTTGTCGCGGTTCCCTCGCTCTCGCCGTCACTGCCCACCGAAATGAAAGTGGCGAGTAGGCGCATTTCCCCTCAGTACACGCCATTTCAAAAAGCCACTGGCATGACGGCCGTGACTGCGTCCCATTTGCATGCACTTAATTGTAATGAAACGTGAGGAGACAACTTTTTGCGAATAAATCATAATTTTTATCTGTTTTGCGAATAAATCATTATTTTTATCTGTTTTTATAAATCAATTTATAATTTCAATGATTTTTATATTCAATCAAAAAATCTGTTCATTGCTCTTTATTTTCCTTACCAAATCCCTATCATATTTTATTCAATTGAAATAATAGCTGCGCATTGGTGCGGATTATCACACAAAATAACCAAAAACAAACGAGCGCACCCACGGAGTGGGCCAGAGCCAAAACATAATATTAATTAAAATTATGAATCCTTCAAGGATCATATAAGTAATAAAAAAACCAATGTGGGGTGAAACCGCAAAATATTAAACACGTTGTTTTTGCGAACCCCCCTAAGTAACAAAATAATCTATCCCCGCCGCCACCCTCCGCCCCCTCCGCCTCTACCCCCCGCCTATTTCACATAACGGCTTAATTTTTCTTTTCTTTTTTTTTTCCGCTCTATTACATGCTTAATTTATTTGGCGGGGGGGACGGGGGGGAAAACTCCATTTTTCCATAGCTATATATATATGCCCACATGCCGGATGGTCTAAATATATTTATCCTCAAAATCACGATTTTACCCCCCGCCCCCCCCGCCTTACGTCTATTTACCCTACGTTTACCATTCTTTCACACTCCACCACATCCAAAACATGGGGGGAGGGACCCACCCGCCTACCTC